CTGGAAATGCTAAGTTCATTGAAAATGGTGAAGTTAGTGGGATTTGGAACCACATAAAGTGGAGATCCAAGAAATTAGAATTCAAGTTCCTTTACCCAAAATTTCTTTTCAAGTTATTATTCCTACAGTTGTTGAACAGTTTAACAACTTACAAGAACAACAAATATATGATCAAACACCCCATAATGAAACTGTCACTAATAAATCCGCATTAGATGAACCACATGAAGTAGTACCTAGAAAATCTTAAAGACAAAAATGGTTTACTATTTTTGATGATTATGTGGTTTATCTACAAGAATCTGAATTTGACTTAGGAGTCAATGAATATCCAATTTCATTTTCACAAGCCATAAAAAGTGCAATTTCTTCTAAATGGTTAGATGCAATGAAAGATGAGTTAAAATCAATGAATCACAACAAAGTCTAGGATATCGTTGAATTGCCTGAAGTTTGTAAAAGAGTCGGGTGTAAATGGGTCTTTAAGACTAAGCGCGACTCGAATGACAATATTGAACAATATAAAGCCACACATGTTGCCAAAGGTTTCACTCAGAAAGATGACATCGATTATAAAGAAACATTTTCTCCAGTTTCTAAGAAAGATTCATTTAGAATTATCATGACACTAGTAGCTCATTATGATTTGGAGTTACACCAAATGGATGTGAAAACTGTTTTTCTGAATGGAAATTTAGATGAAGAGGTCTACATGAGTCAACCTGAAGGATTTTTGGTTTAAGGAAAGAAACACATGGTGTGTAAACTTAAGAAATCAATATACAGACTTAAGCAAGCTTCCCGACAATGGTATCTTAAGTTCAATGATACCATCACGTCCTTTGGATTTAAAGAAAACATTGTTGATCGATGTATATATTTAAAGGTTAGTGGGAGAAAAATAATATTTCTCATTATGTATGTTGATGACATCTTGCTGGTTACTAATGATCTTGGTTTATTATATGAAACCAAGAACTTTCTCTCTAAGAACTTGGAAATGAGAGATATGAGTGAGGCATCCTATGTGATTGGAATTGAAATATTTCGTGATAGATCACAAGGTTTGTTAGGGCTGTCTCAGAAAACATATATCGAAGTGTTCTTAAGAGATTCAATATGGAAGGGTGCTCAGCAAGTGTTGCTCCAATTTAAAAAGGAGATAAATTCAGCCTTATGCATTGTCTAATGAATGATTTGGAACGTAAACAAAATGAAGAAATTTCTCATGCATCTATTGTTGAAAGCTTACTGTATGCTCAAACTTGTATCAGACCAGACATTAGCTTTGTTGTCAGGATGCTGGGCAGGTATCAAGGATGCTGGGGAATAGATCATTGGAAAGCTGCAAAGAAAGTTTTGAGGTATCTACAAGGAACAAAGGACCACATATCTACAAGGAACAAACAAGGAACAAAGGACCACATGCTCACTTATAGAAGATCTAAGGATCTTGAAGTGATAAGATATTTAGATTCAGATTTTGTTGGATGTATTGATACCAGAAAATCAACATTTGGCTATATATTTTTTTGGCTGAAAGAGCAATCTCATAGAAAAGTGTGATGAGACTATCACAGCTGCCTCTACTATGGAAGCTGAATTTGTTGCTTGCTTCAAAGCTACAATTCAGAGTTTATGACTGTGGAATTTTATTTCAGGACTTGAAATTGTCGACAATATTGTCAAGCCACTAAAAATTTATTGTGATAACTCCACAACAGTCTTCTTTTCCAAAAACGACATGTATTACAAAGGTGTTGAATACATAGAATTAAAATACCTTGTTGTTAAGGAAGAAGTTCAGAAACATAGGATGTCAATTGAGCATATTAACACCAATCTCATGATTGCAGATCCTTTGACAAAAGGGTTGTCACCGAAGACATTTAACGAACATGTCGTGAGAATGAGCATTACCAAAACCCTTTATTAGTTTTATGCTCTTTTGACATTTTGGGCCCAATTTTTCTTATTTATGATCTTTATAAATCTTGTTTTTATTGTTAGTGTACACTTTATGTTGCATAATGTTCAATAAGATTTGTCTTTTAATAGACATTATGTGACCATGATGTTAATTCTCATTATGCTGACCATGATGCATGATGTTAATTCTCATTATGCTAAGTATGTAATTGATATTGTGATACATGGAAGGAATTGTGTCGATGAATTGATGTACAACTACCATTATTCACATTAATTTCATACTTATTAAATAATTTATGATTTAACCAATATAAAGAAGGATTTATTTTACATTTTGTGCAGTATATTATGCACTATTAAAATTAACTGAGCCAAGTGAGAGAATGTTATAATTTTTTATTTATGGCTCACATTTATTTTAAAAACTTATGAGATTTATTTTGATAACTTAATTTATTTATTTAACTCATAATTTATGTCATAAATTATGACAACTTATGATATTTATTTTAACAACTTAAGTTATTTATTTTTTTAACTCATAACTTATGAGAACTTATGATATTTATTTTGATAACTTAAGATATTAATTTTCTTAACTCATAACTTATGTCATAATAACATATGATATTTATTTTTGTAACTCATGATAACTTAAGTTATTAATTATCTTAACTCATAACTTAAGTTATTAATTATCCTAACTCATAACTTATGTCATAACTTATGATATTAATTTTATAACTTATGTAATCTCTTAAATGAATAAGAGTTACTAATTTATGTCTCTGATTGTAATAAAAAAATCAATTAATTTATTAAATTATCATAAAACTTATTAGTTTGTAACTCCTTATTAATTTGTAACTCCCATGATGGATGGTGGTTAAATAGAGCATGATTTAGAGAATGAGTTCTCTCTCTTCCTAACACACCTCGTACATTTCCCTCAATCACAAAGTATAGACAGTTTCAAGAGATTAGAGAGGGAAACTCCATCTCTTCAAGATCAAATTTCTTCAAGTTAAAATTTCTTTATCATGAATACATGTATGCGTTACTTTATTATAGATATGTAAAAATCATGAATTTAAAAGATCTTGGCTATTATGTATTTTTTTTTTTTGGAATTTGTGTCATAAAGTTAAACATGAATTTCTAACATCATGATCTCTGATCTACTTAGTCGATGAGACAGTCGATCCAACCTAACAAAATGAATTTTGTCAACAGTCATGAGTTGCTTTGTTCAAAAAAACCTAGTAGACATAAGATGGGCGTTTGTCTAAAGGAACTAATCTAATTCAACATTAGCTTACAAATAAATTTGTCCCCTATCGAGTAAATCATATGATTTATCACTCAAATAGTTAAATTGCTAGTAAGGAACATAATAGCCACGACTATAATATAATGGTACTATCATTTGGCTGCAAATCACCCAATTAGAGTGCTTTAGTCATAACCACTTATTATTGGTGCCATTTGGTAGCAAGATCGTGCCGACAGAGGACCAGGGTCACGTTCTTACTAGTACAAATATTTTGAGTATTAATTTAGCAGTAGACTTCATATGACATTTGTTCTTATGAACTTCCAACGTAATAATTCAGAAGTTATAGAGGGTAGATGGGTTTTGCTTTTAACGTTATATGATAAATTTATTTTAAATATTTTGAAACTAACACTTTAAAATCTTAATTTTCCCCATTTGACAAAAAATGTGTAGTGAATATATCCATCACGAGAGAAAATTTATTACTTAAATATCATTATAAGCACTAATCATGTCAACTCTAATCCTTATGAGGAGGAGGATCATACTAATTAAGTGCTCAATATTCCTCTCTAGAATGAAAATAAAACTGGTTATAGGTGGTTATGCCTTATCAACAACAATCTCTTTAGGCAACCCAACTTGCTTAATTATACTTTTCTAGATGCCTTTAGTTTTGGACCACGTAGATGCCTTTAATCTTGTGGACTCAAACTTAATGGTTGCATTCAATCAGCTTTGGCTTTGGCTTTTGTTCGGACTGCTACGTCCGATTAAATAGGCCTTCTTTAATTATACTTTTTCTATCTTTTGAGTTGCCGAATATCCCTGAGATTAATGCTAGCATATTACAAACATTCAAATACAAAAGAATAGACTGGTATGTATGTAACTCTTATTTTTTTGCTTTTGCCAAGCAAGCAATTACACAGTTAGATTGTTAAAGAAAATAATCTTAGTTATTCTAATCAACAAAACTAGCAAAAACACAAATTTAAGAAAAAAAAAATATACTTATACTTTCATAGATTGCTAAGGATGTTCCTTCCTCGTAGTTTTCTTGTCCTTTGCATCATCTAGATAATGCTGATACACATAATTAACAAACCCCAAAATTGAAATCAATAAAGCCACCACCTTCACTCCATCCATGGTATCATGGAAGAACACAACCGCAAAGACTGGCACCAGAGGAGTACCTAGTGTTCCGATCACATTAGCAAACAGAGAAGAAACCAGAAAGATCAAAGCAACATTCCCCACAGAGTACACCAGCCAGCCTATCGCAGTCCATAGCAAAGTCATTATATACGCCACCTTACCCTTCTCGGATCCTACAAACTCCTCATGAATCCCCCTCCAATCCCCGCCGGCGAAAAGTCCGACCAACGAAGACACCGAAGAGACTACTCCAGTCCACAAAATCATTTCCAAGACGACGGTGAAGGTCTCGGATTTTATAACCTTTTGGTAAGCCAATTGGGTGAGGGAGAGAACAAGGGAAAAACCAGCAGATGCCACCAGGGTTAGAGCTATTCCAATAGCGTACTTATTACCGGAAACAGAGCCGCCTTCAGAGTGAACGCCGAGGAGAGCGGCGGCGAGGGTGAGGAGAATGATGGAATTGAAGATGAAAGGAGTGAACTTTTGGGAGTTTAGGAAGTAGGAGAAGACTGCATTGAAGGCAAGTTGTGTGGCGCAAATGAGAGAGAAGGTGGAGACAGGGAGATAGAGGAGACCGTATGAGTACATGAGATTGTTTCCGGTGGTGAGGAGGCCGAGGACGATGTAAATTGTGGCGAGTTTAGCGATGGAGGGGCGGGGCACGGCGGCGGTGGAGGACTGAGGTCGGAGGAAGAGAAGGGGGATGATGAGGGGAAAACCGGCGGAGGAAATGAAGGTGGCCATCCACAAGCTCTTTCCGCCCAAGTTGTAGTAAAAGCGGCCGAGGAGGTTGCCGGCAGTCTGGCCGGCAAGGATTAAGAAGCTGTAGAAGAAGAGGAGGAACCACCATTGCCAATTTGTGAGCTTGGAAGAAGATTGGGGTTGACCGAAAGCTGCCTCCTTCGGTGATGTTGGTGCTGGATCTCCTTCATCTGGAGCAAAGAGTCGCAGAGTTTTGAACAGATTAGGTGCAGTTAAATTACAGCAAAATCTCACACTCAGAACAAAGCTCTTTAGTTGCAAAATTTAGCTTCAGATTTAAGCTAACTCTTATCAAAAATTCCATTTTTAAGTCACATGAATCTTGCCGTAAAAAAAAAAAAGAAAAAAATACGCAACATTTAGCAAGACTCAATGATTGTCACTCCAAACAACTTTTAGTTTTGCCATACAACAAAGGAAATTTACAAAAGCAATCCTCACTGAAGCACTTTTAAATACTTTATTATTATTATATCCTCTATGACATCTTCTTTTCCTGCACAAATCCTAACATCTAAAAATATATGTTAAATAATTTACTATCACTGCTAACAGATCTACCATTTCTCATGCAAAAAAATTAAAAAAAAATACAGAAACTGATTTAAATCTAACATTAAAGAAGGAGAAAAAGCTGGAGGAAAGAGTTATAGAAAAATGAAGAGGATATAAAGATGCTGCAACCTCTGATATGGAGCTGTATTTCTCGAGCTTCTCCCATATTGAAACTCTTATCTCTAATATGAAGGAAGAAGAAGAAGGAGAAGAAGAAGAATTTTTTATTATAGAACAGTGTAGCAAAACTTCATGATTGGAGCTTAATTTAAGCCGTTAGAGAAGGAAAAAAGAGAAAAAATTTTTATTAAAGTAGATAAAAAAAGGACCGGCTCTGACGAAAAGTAAGGCGGACGGTTCCCAAACGTACGAGGCTGACGGCATAAAGTATATTATGATTTTATGGAATTCTCGCTATTGTGTGGGAGTATGGGTTCACTTGACAAAATCTATTTACTTGATGCCGCTAGGGTGAAAATGGGTCCGGTTGAGTTTGAGTCACTCACAATTTGAGCTTGTGTTTGAGTAATTTTATCCAGTTTGAGCTCACATTTGAGCTCAAGTTTAGGAGTTCGAGCCAGATCACGAGATAAAGAGAGAGAATGATATTAATTTAAGCTATATTTATACTAAGATTACAAATAGAATGAACAATCAGAAGATAAATAATAAGAAATCGTCTAATACACAATATAAAATATTACTTTTTAAACATTTTTAATACTTTAAAGATAAATTCATAATATTTTAATATATTTTAAGAATATTTTTTATCAATATTTTTTTGACCTAGCCCAATCACGAGCTAACGAGTTGTGTTGGGGCTTGTTAGCTCATCGAGCTCGTTCGTTTCACGAGCCCCTTAGAGCTGAGCTCAAGCCGGATTGGCATACTTAAACCACTAAATACCACATAAATCTTTAAAAAGATCAGCTTTGATAATTTGTCGTCATGTTGTCATTATCATAAGCATTTTCGTCGAATCTCCTTTAAAATAGTATGTGACCGACAATCTCCTCTCTTTCATCATTAGCAGTAACATCAATGATGACTCTATTCTCCCGTAATTCGATAAAGACCACCCCCTTCGTGCTCCTACTAATCGCCTTAGTGATCAACTCCGGATTTATGAAAGACGACACGCGGCTCCAAAGTGAGACGATAAATTATACTTTTTACAAGCATATCATTCACTGCATTTATTTTTACATATCTAACACCCAAATTTTACATTTTACGTATAAATAACTTACCTTATCTTTGCATTAAAAGGTGTTCTGCACTTTTTAAAATTAAAATAGTTGTATTATTGATATGATACGAAAAATTTGAAGTGATCGACGAACAACCTTTGGAACTATAATAGATGAATTTCAAGCATTTCATTCTTATGTTCTTCGCCTCTTTCAAGTGAATAATGAGGACTTATTTAAAGTTGTTGAGAGGGAAATTTCGATAAATTTGTGTGTTCGCCTGAAACACTCAATCAGATGGTAAATATTGATTCCTTGATCACTTGTAGTGGCTTAATGATGTCGGAATAGAATGGCATTGGATTCGTTGGATTATTCTCGTCGAGATGTTCCTTTTGACCATAAGAATTTTTGGCTATCCAATTGATGAATCAAACCCATCAATAATTGTTCAAGTTTTTTATATGAGCATATTGAATTCGGATTGGACTACTTTCAGTGTCATTGAGTTTATTTTGTCAAGATGTCCGATTTAAAGATAAGTTCGTTGAAATCAAAGCATATGTGATATTTGAATTTGAAATTTTCTCGCTCAAATGCTTTGAGATTCGTGTTTGATAATAAAAATTTATTGTGGGCACATTAATATTTGAAATACTTTATTTTCTTGAGTTTGCAATTCGATCTCTCATTTTCTTATACCTTAAATTCTTGCTCGTCTTTAACGGTCGCCCCGTCGCCGTCGCAGGGGTTAAAAAAAATATTCAAATCAAATATATATTTTTAATTTGGATAGGAGATTGATATATTATTTTACAGTAAACTATGTACTTTTTCGACATATTCTATTTTTGTGGAAGAATATTGTCATCAGTAATAAATTTATTTTTTTTATCATAAAATTAAAGACTATATATGCTATATATATAATTGAAACACATAAATATATTATTAAATTTGTTTCATATATATTTTAAGGTATTGTCTACACACTCATGTCACATTATTTTCGGAATTAGCTAGCATTATTCATGAGAAGATTTAACGGTTCAAAAGGAAGATATTACGACAAATGAAGGCCCAACAACACAAGCTTAGGAGGTTCACTTATCTGATTGGATGCAACTGTTGGAGTCAGAGCAAATGAGATCAAAGCCGGCCTTTTCACGAAGTCGACCAAATCTGAGCCGTTCTGTCAAAAATGAGAAAATTAGATATTCAAGTCAACCACTAAAAGAAAGCCGTATGAATGTGGCAGCCTACCTTCCAGTAGATCTGACCCAAGGAATGATCGTTCCTCAATTTCACCAATCATCTCACGGATTTCCTCGAGACTCTTCTTTAGGGATCAATAATTAACAATGCCACAAAGAGCCTTATAGACATATCTCAGGCTCTTCTTATTGAGGAGCTAGCTTTCATTTTAGGGCACAGTGATTTTCCCTCTGCTCAATGGTTTAGCACCGCTCTGCCAGCAGGAGCTCCTCAACAGGGATCAAGGGTTGACGACCATACCACATCAACAGATCGATAAAGTCTAGCTATTTGAATAAGTCTTGCTAACACAAAGCAAACAAAGTTTAGCCGGCGATGCCCGCTTAGCCTAGCTGACCAGATGGACCTTACCGAGTCAAAGCCAAACAAGCGTACTGAGCCAGAGATGGATCAAGCGATAGACTTATATCTTTAAAATACCCAGAATACTCTATACATCCTCCCATTCAAGCAGGGATGAACATATAACATATTATATCGTATTATCTTCCCTATAAATAGGAAGATAATTTCTTGTACAAGAGACACAATTTTTGCCAAAAAGGCTGGAATGTTGTGAAAAAAAAAACAAAGGCGATAAAGCGAAAAGTCGAATCAAGTAAATTCACAAAATAGAAAACAACTGTGAAACACACAAATTTCTGTGATTCGACAAATTGCCTACATCCATGGAGCTGCATAAAATTTTATTACTTTGAGGATTACACATGTCGATCATCTTAATAATTACAAGAAAAGAATTCTCTCTCTCCCTCTAAGCCGAGAGCCACTTGAGAGCTACACGAGAAGAAGAAGAATACAAAAGAAAAGTTGTTTTCTTTTTCCCCGTAAGCTTCGCACCGAACGACCAGAACAAGAAAGCAGCTACTATGCAATATTTAATTCTTTCGTAAGCTTAATCACATGCATAATCTCCTTCTTGTGAAGTATTTATAAATCTTTTTTTATACCCATTAAGAAAAACCTTAATTGCGAATATCCCTCCTCCATATTTATGGTTTTAATCGAGAAATCTTGAGAAACATGACAACTCCCACTGCATGAGCAATATCATGCCTCTGTTGAAGGCCTTTTTCAACAAGTCCAGCTTTGTAGCTCTTACTGTCATCACGCTCAGTCTTCACATGGTACACCTACTTGTTGTGCAAAGCATTCTTCCATGGTGGAAGTTCTGTCAGCTCCCAAGTTTGATTCCTTTGCAGGGAATTCATCTCCTCCTTCATAGTCAGCTCCCACTTGCTAGAATTTTCATCTTGAAAGTTTCTTTATAGCTCTGACTCATGTGACCACGCCTGCAATGCCACAGATCTGCCATGTTCTCTGCAACTGTAATAGCAACAGTATTGATTAAACCTGTAGCCATATATAATGTGTCAATTTCTTATCCCAAGTTAGTACTAATGCTCATTTGGTAACCTTCCAGGTGTTATCTGAGAACACTACCGAATGACCACCCTCATTGAGCTGCCCAACATAAATGAAGTTTTTCTTCAACTCAGGAATGTGCCCGATGTTTTGTAATGTTCAGTTGCTCTTGTCAATATCAACGTCTCTCATCCCCACCATATTTAGAAATTCTGCATTAACTCCTAGGGGAAAGGTGTATGGAAGGAAGCTCCTGAATCTAATATCCAATCATCAACATAACTGTGAACTGCTAGCAGTAGCGCATCCTGTACTTTTTGAGTTACAACGTTAGCACTATCATTCTTGGGATTCATGTAGTTCTGTTTTATGTGACCAGTTTTGTGACAACTCCAGCAGGTTGCGTGCTGACCAGACTTTGATTTTGATCTTCCTCAATTTGAGTTCCTATCCTTTGATCTCCTTCTGGAATCAACAATCAGTGTTGAACTCGAATTCGAGGTCTAGCCAGAATCTTTTCTATGCACCTTCTTAATTAAAATTAAATCAAGAATATCATCATATTTCAGTTTAGAGTTACCTGCACAACTGCTAACTGTCATCCTCATGGCTTCCTAGCTATTTGACAATGAAGTCAACAAAATCAGCGCACGTATCTCATTATCAAAATCAATTTCCACATATGACAATTGATTTGTGATAGTATTAAAATCATTTTGATGTTGAGCAATAAACACGTCTTACACCTTCAAGTTGAATAACTTTTTCATAAATGGTACCTTGCTATTCACTGATGACTTTTCATATATATCTGATAAAGGGGTCATGAGATCTACAATAGTCCTCTTTTTGATGATGTTGTAGGCAACTGATCTTGACAGAGTTAATTATATAACCCCTAGAACCTGTCAATCCAACAGATTCCATTCCGCCTTGTTCATCTTTTCCGGCTTCTTTTCCAGCAACGACTGATAAAATTTCTTCTCATATAAGTAGTCCGCTATCTGCATCCTCCAGTAACCAAAGTCGGTGCCATCAAATTTCTTGATCCCTTATGTCATCACTTTATCTCCAGCCATCGCTTTTTCTTTAGATCTGAAATCATGGCTCTGATACCACTTATTGTGAAAAAACAACGCAATAAAGCAAAAAAACGAATTAAGAAAATTCAAAAAATATAAAATAACAGTGGAATACAAAGATTTAAGTGGTTCGACAAATTCCATACATCCAGGGAGCTGTAGAGGATTTTATTACTTCGAGGATTACATCCGTCGATCACATCGAGGATTACAAGAAAAGAATTCTCTCTCCTCCTCCTCCTCTCTCTCTCTCTCTCTCTCTCTCCCTCTAAGACGAGAGCCACACGAGAGCTACATGAGAAGAAGAAGAATACAAAAGAAAAGTTATTTTCTTTTCGCCGTAAGCTTCGTACCGAACGACCAGGACAAGAGAGCAGCTAC